ATCAGTGGGTCATCACCAAATCAATAGGTGACCCAACAATACTGAATGCATAAAGTAATAGTACTTAATGCATTATGAGTTGTTTTTAAAACTTTTAAGACTTTGTGCATTAAAAATTGTTTTCAAGACTTTTGATAAATCTGGTTTATAAAGCAGTATAGATTAAGACACTGTAATTTGAAAAACTAACCATTATAACAATGGTTAATATCTTCTCTTTTGAACCGGTTAACCCCTTAACTTTTTGTTTATATGACTTAAATAAGGTGATATGGATGACACATCATTCTGATTATTTTGTATAAATAAATAAATAACTCTTTCAAAAAACAAAACAAAAATCCTCATGCTTGGAATCCCGTGTGGATCAAATAAATAATGATTCATCTTAAAGATGCACCGGTCCGCAACATTATGGACCGCCACTATGTGGAATCCCGTGTGAATCAGCAAGGACCACATTGCAAGACTAAGTACTCTTGGGTGACTGATAGCGAATTAGTAGCGTAAGGAAAGGACAAAAAGAACCCCTATCAGGGAATAAAATAGAACAAGAAACCGTAAACTCACAAGCAATGGGAGTCAGGTGGATTGAACTTCTTACCGGTGATAACACAACTTTTTATCGTCCGAACTGATAGAGAAAATAACCGGACGATCATAGTTTTCTATGCTTTTGTGTATATTTTACTAAGGTCACGGTTCCAAGCCAAGCGAGCGTTTAATTTAAAAGGGGGATATAACGAAACCGGTAGACGCTAAGGACTTAATTGGATTAAGACTAAGGGGTTGTTTATCCAAACAGTTACCGGTAAAATTCTACAATATCAATTACCTTATTGGGTAAACTTTTAGTCCATAAAAAAACATTGTATGCAACAATCTACTCGGTAAGTGTTAACAGGGTAAGAGTCGTAACCCTTACACTTACTGGGTAAGACTTTTGGTCATAGCCATTGCTCTTATCAGGTAAGATTCTCGGTATTTACCATGTTAATCAGATAAGGTTACGAAACAAATTAAAACTATCCTATTTTTATAATGTATTTTAAAAACTACCCTATTTTTATAAATAAATAAAAAAACTCAGTATTTGGCAACCTTGCTACTGGGGGTGTTTGAAATTGTTTATTTGAAACAACTTATGATTTTCTACAAAATTACTTATCAACTTATTATAAGTTAGAACGGCTTAAGTTTTTCAAAAACTTCTTATTACCGGTTTGACACCGGTATAAGCTCTTTATCCAAACACTTAAAAGTGCTTATTACCGTTGTCACATCGGAATAAGTCAATAAGTTATTTTTATAAACAATCCTAAACACCCCCAAGATTAGTTCATAGCAAAACCAAAAGAAACTACTTCGATCATCAACGACGGATCAACAATAAAAGAGATCTTTAACAACGGATCGGTAAGGGATTTTTTCCTCGCTGATACCCTTATTTTTGTAGTGAGAAATTGAGAATAACAACATTTTACAAGATCATTCCATTTCCTTTTTATTACCAAACAAAATATAAAATATTTAACACATAAAATCATAAATACAAGACAAGAGAGACACATGATATATATATATATATAT